AATGACAAAAAATGATTGTACTCACACTGATCCACTTAATAAGAATCATAATATCTGCTTCCACTAAGTTCACCAGCAAACAAATTGGAATTCGCAATTTTGTTTACCCCCACCATCTAGTTTCATGATACCATTGATTAAAATTAGGCCAATTAGGAAAGAACAATGAGTGGAAAAGCAATTAGAGTTCGGCATACTTTGTTTAAAATCTGAAATTAAACTATTGAATGTGGGACTCAATTCTCTAAGGCTGAACAGAGGCAGTTTTTAATTAACACTTTCAGTCACTAAATAATCTGTTTACAAGTTACATATAACATTGTAATCTCAATCAAAAAATTATTGAACCAGTATTTCCAGGCAGATTTTTCTTTTTTTAAGCTTTTTTTTCCCCTCTGTGGACCAACCGATTCTGCCTTATAAAACCCTCAAAACTCAGTCCAACAATTAAATCCACAGCACTTCACAACATCGTCATTTATATCTTGCTGTGTAACGCCGGCATCCATGATGAAGCCTAGCGTTGGTATTAACACCCTGCCAAATCCGGGGGCTTGTGATAAAAGCAGATGTGTACACATTAGTGAGAGCGTCCCTTTAGGAGATTTCATTAAAGTGTTGGATAGTAATGGTGTCCAATCAACAGTATCTGCAGAGGCGAGAGCCAGGAGGATTTATTTTTATTACCAGAGCTGTGCTTGCATGTACAAAATGTTTTTTTTTCTCTTAAATGGTTCCATACATTACTGTGGTTATGTTGAAATGGAGCACACAGCTGTGTTTTGATGGCTCTCTATAGAATATTTGAAGAATTTAATCAAGTAGGGTCAAGGAATTATTGGATCAGTGACATCATCTGAACCAAAATGGCTCAACTTGTGAACCAGAACCTTATAACCACACACTTCGTCTTCAAAATCAAATTTAAAAAAAATGCTTAAAACAACATTTGAGATATCTGTTTAAATCTATAGTTTGTGCAAATTTCTACAATTTTTACCAAGTTAAAGAATCACAGACCGATTAAATTGTCAAAAGGTGTTACGACAAAAATTAAATATTTTGGCTTCCTAGAAGTTGTACAAAGGCCCTGATGAAATACGTTAATAATTTAAATGCACTTTGACAGTATATTTTATAACAAATTTATAAAATACACTGTCACAGTGCATTTAAATTGTTTTGTTTCTAAACTTAGTCCGTATGCACTACACATTGTTTCCTCTATTTTTGCAATATCAGATTTTTACAAGAAACATTGGTTAACCCATTTGACATTTATCACTTACACCTACTGATGGGATTATCAAGACAAAGAAAGACAAGCAAATGATGCGCGAAACTAAATGAACAGTCATGTAGTGAAATGATTTAGGCATATTTTTAAAAATGAACACTAACGTAACTAAATCGCCAACAAAGCTGTAAGAACTACAGGTTTCACTCTCCATGTCAAATCCTGCCAAGTCTTGCTCAGTTCTCACTGGAGTAAGAGCTGAGCATCTTTGGTTTTAAGGCTTTGTACTCAATTTACTTAATTTAGTTTTTAACATTGACATTATTATGAAATTTTCACATTTCTAAAGGTTATGCAAACCATAGGGACAGAAATAAAATGAGCAGCACGTCTTTCTCCTTCCCCCAGTTTACACATGTGTGGGAATAAACAACAACAAAATCCCGTCTGTTAAAAGGGGGTTTGAAAAGACAGGTCGGTCTGGAACCGGCAAACCTATCCCGCTGTGACACTATCGGCAGATTCAATCTACAATATGCTGATTCTATCATAATAAAGAAAATTGGCTGGATCCCTGAGGAGAGGGTCTCTAATAGAAAATAATTCTGCCCTTGAAACACTTGGGGCCTGGCTTTGATTAGATGATGCTATCTTTGTTTAGACTTGAGCATCTGGGGCAGGACAGCGTGCTCATATATTTAATTAAAATACCATTGCTTGCCACTGACAAAAGGGTACTTATCTCATCGAAATGTTCACTCTGGTGTTTTTTCACCCTCTCTCCTAATTCAAAAGATTATCTGTGTTGATTGGCCGTAGAGGTGGGATGTATGGGGGCGTAATGGTGAGTGGAGGAGATAGTGGCTTGTCAGAAAACTGGCTCATCTGCTATCCACCTTGACTGCAGGCCAGACATCATCACTGAACGCCATCTGGCTCCAGGACGGAACTATTTTACCTTTATCGCCACATTTTTTATCATTCATCTAAAGTTGTGTTAGGGCATAATTACAGTGCCATTATGCTTGTCACAACCTTGTAACAACAAAATTTGTATCACTGACCCTGATAGAATGACCTTTGTGCACCACACTGGTGCTTATCCTTTTACTGATACACTTTACATCAGGTGTACTCAAATACACACCCTGACCCACATTTTTTTAGCAGGTCAAAGGTCCATTTTTTTTATATTCAGTCAAGTCACTGTGAATTAATGTGATGAAATAGTAGTCAACCTTTTTTACAATTTTTAGAATTATTTGTTGCATATAAATGGTTTCAAATTTTACTCTTAGCTCAACTGAGGTTTTACAATGAACACAATGTATATCTCTCTTTCCCATTGGGTGGCAAAAGTGCCTAAATTTAATTTAAATAAACATAAAGACTAGTAGTCTATTTGCTGTGTTTTAAGTCTGTTTTGACTAGGGATGCACCGAATATTCGCCCACCGTAATAGCATTTGTAAAACTTGTTATGCTGAAAATTTAAAAAAAATTAAGGGGTGCATTGCAAAGAATTTCTCCACGTTAGGTTTATTTATCACCTGAAATTCAAACATCCAGATTGCTATGCTGAATATGAGAGAAGGGAAAGCCTCTCTCATACAGCGCAGACCACAAGCTCCCCACGACATTCACTTCACACCAGTGGGTCTTAATAGAGAACAGTATATATATATATATATATATATATATATATATAGTATCATGTTCATCGTATCATGGCTCAACAGCTTCAATCACAATCAGGTCTGACTCCTGCTCTTCAAGGTCAACACGCTGCAGCATCTCTTCTCGTGTCAAGAGTGAGTGTAAACAAGACAACAGCTTCAATGGCCTGAGAGCATTCAAACTGAGGAAACCAGACCAAGCACAATAGTAAGGGTTGAAGAGCTGTGTATCGTCCTGCAGAAGTCCTTCAACACTTGTATCATACACTACCAAATGACCTGCAGTACAACATAAAAATTCCCCGGGCAACCATTACCATTTCCGTGGCTACTTTGAAATTTCTCTGGTGGCCCCTTCCACTGAAAATGATCTTCCAAATTAGCTCACCGAGGATTCTTTTGAATGTCACATAACCTGCTTGCCTGTGGCAGGAGGAGCCTGCTTGCTGCTCCCTGATGAGTAACATGTTGTGACACTGTCAGACATAGAGGGGGCAGCAGACCTTGGCTGCTTATCCCTGCTGTCATAAAACCAGGCCATGATGGGGCATAGTGAGGTACAGTGAAGCTGCAGCCAAAAAATTATTAACGACAAAAAAGGGACTTCCACATGTGGAGCAATGCATTCTCACAGGGACATGGAGGTAATGAATTGGGTCTTTCAAAGAAAATTGATTTCAAATTTAGTTTTTTGACACAGCATGAAAAACCACCCTAATTAATACCACCCTGACTAATTAATATTGGTGACTTCACCAAGTTGCCACTAATGCTTAAACTCTGTATTTTGTCTTTTTGTTCCACCACTTTACATAAAAAAAACATTGTTTTTTTTTCATATTTTAATATGTTGATTTACCTAGTTTTTTCTCATGATTATTAGACAGCTATGCTTAGATTAATCTGATTTTAAAATGTGACAGCCCTAATGAATGTATTTGAAATGATGAAATTAAAAAAAAATTAGTGATGTCGAAACTGGCAGGAAAAAAAACCAAATGTACTTTTGACAGGCCAGAGTTTGATAAAGAAATAGATCACAGAAGGGAATAATAGATTCTGGAAGCTTCAGTAATGTCCCCAAGTACTGAGTTCTGAGCTGCTTCACATCCTTAATAGCTGTACTGTAGCTGCAGCAGCAGCAGCTTCATCCTACTGCAGGGTTTTGTTTTTGTTTTTTCCAAAAGCCTGTTCTTACTGAGGTCTCCCCTGTGGTAGTAAACAACAACTTTACTGTTGTTTCGACAGATTGCTGGTACAAATCGGTCACAGATTGTATCCATTTGTTTCTTAGACCTTCATGATTCCATTCAGGTTTGCTTAAGAACTCCAAAAAACTGATAACCAGCTTTGGGAATAATGATTATGATTACAAACATTTTTCTCAAAATGTCCCTCATATTACCAGATCACTGTATTGACAGTAATGACTGTGGCAAACCTTGACTTTTAATCTAGATTTGATAATAGTGCGTAACTCATAAAATTTCACGGGAGGGGAAATTTATGATTAAAAAAGTCAAAACAATAATTAAAAAGAAAAAGTCACAACCTTGACACTGTTCTGAGATTGTCAGATAAATTGGTAAAATAATACATGTCTAGATTAAGAAAATGATAGAGGCAATAAGAGGACACAAATGTGCAACTATGAGACAAAAGTAAAAGATGCTATAAAAAATCAGAAATCAAATGTTTACCTATCACTGTAATAATAAGAAAACACAAAAAAGATGTTAAGTGGAAAAAGTCGAAAAGAGAGAAAACATGTATATATTTTAAATGAAGAGTAACATTAACTGGGGTGATTAGAAACACGTGGCTTTAGAGTAAATAACAAGTGAAACTAACATTGACGTTCCACAGTTGTGCGTAATCTGCGATAAAGTTATTACAAAAATATCAAATATATTACTTTACGAGTTGTTAATACAGCTATATCATAACATTACACATACAAAAACGAAAGACTTTTGCAGCTTTTTGTGACGTCAGCTCAGCTTACCTTTCCACGTGTTGTTGTTTTCTGCATGAATCGTCGTATTTCCAGCATACTTTTTCTTCATCTTTATTTTCCTGTTTAAAAAAGCTGTTCAACGTTATTAGCGTTATTGGGCGTCCTGCTTTACCTCCGTCCAAACAGCGTATTTATAGAAGCGAGTCGCTTCAAGCGACTCACGTGTGGAGACACGAAGTAATAGCACAGACTGGGCCAAACAAAACATTTGATTGGACGAGCGGGCAGGTTAAAAGTCAAAAGTGCATCTTAGGGTCAGGTCCATTTGATTGGACGAGCGGGCAGGTTAACAGTCAAAAGTGCATCTAGTCAGGTAACCACGTGTCCCTCTCTGGCGTGTGCTTTTTGTTTTTGTTTTTTTTTTTTTTTTTAATCCTACAGAAAGTGCTGTTGTTGTGATAAGGTAGAATTTTCAAACATACATACATCTGATATACAAAGTCAGACACCTGGTGGCGCTAGATGCCACCAGTATGTGCACTTTTCCAGTACAAGTGATGGTTTTATCCTTGCCCCTAACTCACAGTTCTCCATGTGATTACACATTAATGAAAACTGAATTATGGATATTTAGCTCAATTGCTGCCAATGGATAAAGGCTAAGAAGATTCTTTTTCACTTGACTATAAGAATGAAATCTTTTGTACAATGAATCTGATTTTTACAAATAATAATTTTAATCATCTCACTGAAGTCCTACAGGCCTAAGTCAGAAAAGCATACCACACTGCAGTGGAAGTCATATGAGTTGATAAGTGCAAAGAAAGGAAGCTATACCTTTATTGGAAAGTGCAGCTATAGTTCAAATACTGTATTGCACCTTAATATCTAGACTAAAACACCAAGAGAAATGTTCCCTTTTCTGTGTGAGGCTGTCAGGTTTCACCAATACACAGAGGGGGGAAATGACATTGATTCAACTTTCCATTGAAATTCTGCCGAGCACTTGGCTATTGATTTTCACTGAGGGGCCAGATATGAAATGTGTCATTTGATATACAACAAAAAAAACTACTACTTCTTCTACACTGTTTTTCACATGCAATCTGGCCTCAATGGATTTTTTTTCTTTATTTAATAATTTCACATTGAGGGAGGGTAAATTACTCTCATATATATATATACACACATATATACACATATATATGTATGTATGTATATATATATATACATATACATATATACATATATATATACACACATATGTATTCATTTCAGTGTCCTAATTTGTTCACATTTCTATTTAGTATGTATCAGTACGAACTAAGTAGGCTTGTCTTAAATAGAGAAAAAGTAAAAGTACTGGCACCAAAATGGTTTATTGATCCTGTCTTTGGGAGTGCTTTACTTTAGGAGCACTGCGCACGTGTCAACACTTACTTTGTGGTTAGGGAGGTAAGCAGAAAACCTCTGGCAATTAAGCTTTTCAATTTAAAGGGTGATGGCTTAGCTGCTCCAATCAATACACTGCTCACTTGTGCTTGTCAAAAAATATTCTTCCTCGGCTAAAAAGTGTGCATGAAGGACACTGGATGTCTCCAGAATTTTACGTGCTGACTGCAATCTGAGCATTTTATTTTAAAAAAAAGTGCCAGGAAGTGTCATCATGACACCAGATGAAACCTGAGTCAATGAGTCAAGTGTATTGCTGTGGCTCTGCAGTATACATGCCCGACCAGCATGTCTTTTGAGCTGGCAAAAGAACTTATTAAGAAAGTTCCCCAGGAGTCATCAGCAAATCCTCAGCACATTGCATTCAGCAAAAGCTGGTGAAAATGATACTAACACCTCCATCAGGACATTTATGCATTTGTCATTATGTAGACCCTGTGGGAATCAAACCTGGAACTCTGCTTTTTGTTTGCACAGAAGACCTGCTAACTACATTGTGGAAGCACATCAGGGACGTACATATATTGAACCACATCATCTTCCCCTTCATCTTTTGATGCAGGTTGCAGTCTGTGTGAGGAGGAGACACACGTCTCAGTGACTCAGTCATCCATCACAGGATCATGTCTGTGCAATGGGCCTTAGTCTCCCTCTCACTCCAACACTCTTAACAATGGAGACAAATTTATGTGGGAGAAAAGTGGGCAATTAAAATGAATATTTAAGTCCGTGGGGCATGTCTCTTATATAGAACAAAGCCTATTAGACTTTACTGCTGGACTGTTAGATATGTTCTAGGTGTATTATCCTGTACTCTGCAGCTCTTGTACACTTTGTTGATATTGTTTTCCTGGTTTTTTGCCTACAGACAGAGTGCATGGCTTGCTATCAACACACTACCAAACTGCTAATGTAAAATCTGAAGTGTCTTTGCCCCCAGCAAGCTGACTCCAGTGGACTGTCTTACAGTTTTACTCAAACAAATGGACAGTAAAGTAAACAACAAAGTGGTGAATTACAGGCTAAAGACCTACATATACATAACAGCAGGTTTGTTTGGTTTTTTTTTTTTTTGGTTTTTTTTTGACAATTTCACATCCTAACCCTACAATCTCTGGTGTCCTGTTTTAAATTATCATTCTAGCTGCTAGTTCTAGTTTTGCTACATAAGAATGAACACAATGCATTACAAAGGAGAGCAACACAACAGCAGCACAACAATATATTGTTTACTTCTGTATTACCTTCTGTAGTGTGGATGCCTTGTAATATTTAATGGTTAAAATATTCTAGGTGGAGCTGTGCCATATTAAGCCAGTTTCAGAAAATATCCCACCACAATTTAATACAAACAGCAGGATAATGGTGCGCTGTGAGACAGAGACAGAAACAATTATTAACAGGATTAAAAAGTTGGGTCATCCTTACACAAAAACATCAGAACATGTAAACAAAGTACTTAATCATATTTACACATTTTTAGACACTAGACTGTTGACTGTTACATCAGTGACCCCTTTTGGCTGAGATGGCCTCAGTTGAGCACATAAAACGGCGCGTTACTACTTCAGATATCCACTCGTTCTGGGGTGTCTACAAGTCTATCGCGCATAGGCCATCAAATTCGACAATGCTGATTGGATACATTTCTGTTTCTGTGTGCATATCTCATGTCAGCAACAGGTCAGAAATTGACTGTGCTAATGCACCGACTGGGTACAGTTTCTAGCCCCCCCAGAAGCTAAATAGAAGCAAGAAATAGCCAAAGGCTATTTTCCCCCAAAATTTGATGACTTATATTTTATATATGACATTATGGTGCATTTTAAACACACTCATGCTCATCATAAGTGATTTTTGCTTGGGGGGTATAGCCTGTTTATGGGCCAGTGCCGCTGGGTGGGAGTAAAGATGAGAAATGGAATGGGGCCTTTTCACTCGTGTTTCCAGCTAAAGTACCATTTAACTACTGAGTAGAGAATGTCCACTCTTTACTAACCACATCTGGTGTTGGGCATCTTCATCACATCATAAAAACAACTGCTCACTGCAGCTTGAAAATTCCACACTTTGAGCGAGGAGTCCGAACTGAAACAGTGAAGTTGCAGAAGGAGACAATTAGTCAACAAAGTGCAACATCAGCTGACTGTTTTTCCCACACTTTGTCACTACTATTATTTTGATATAAAATAATGTGATGAGCTGAGCTTTAAAGGTGAAAGAATCGATGTAATTACTACCTAGTTTAGTATTTTGCTGAGTGTGTTTTCACCATGAACTTGGGAAATCATAATTCAGTGTCGTCACAATGAAAGTGCGGTATTGTAAGGTTACTGGAGGACAGAGGACACTTACCTTGGTTTCTTCATGTCACCTACTGGGATTGATGACCAGAGAGGATTTCATGGCGTCCTGCAGAGCCAATCAAACTCATGTTAAACACACAAAATCTGTAAAAAATCCATTGGTTACACCAGCTGTGATATTGAAATATTTATTACAGCTTATGAAATCACTGCTTCTATTGTTAAAGCAGACCAGAGCATACAGAGCACATCCACTGATGCTAGGCCAAAGATATTTGGCACTGAGATGGACAGAAGGCTAACGAGGAATTAAAATTAAAAAAGAACAAAAAAAAAAAACAAACAAACAATACAAAGATTGCCCGTCCGTGGTCCGTTCAGTGTTATCCATACAAAAGTGTTCAAAACGCCCAGAAAAACAGCAGAACCTCTCTTGTAACTAAGTCATAAATCTGAAACAGTAATTTATTTGTCGGGCAAACAATTCAACTGGTACAGCAAATAACCATTATGACGTCATTCAACCAGGAGACGGATACAAAAAGGAATAAATAAGGAGCCATCATTTTAGCAAATAAAAACCTACTTGTGCCACTAACCTTCAACCACCGGTCTCCATCGGTAACTGTTTATTGTAACAAATAAATAAATATTATCTTCTCCTTCAGGAGAAAGAAAGGAAAAAAAACTCCCATTTTGTTCTCACCCCCAAAGCTCTCTCTTTAATAAGTAAATCAGCAATCTTTTTTTTTTCTTTTTTTGTACAAGTGCCCAGTGCTCATCAATATTAAAATTGTCCTCTGTCAGAGAAGCACAAGTGTTTCTGAATGCCAATAGAACTTAAGAGGGAAACCTTGTTGTCTTGTTTCTATTGAGATGATAATTTCTGGAAATAAAAGATGTTGATGAAATGATAAAAGAGGGAGACAAGGAAAACTAAATTGAAAAAAAAATTATATATTTAAAAAAAAAAAAAAAAGAATCATTACCAGAAAACCAGAAAGGCTGAAACAACTTAGCAAAAATGCTCTTAACCACTACATTTACAGAGACAAAGGGTTTGCTGGGAACGAAAAAAGCATACTAGTATGTGCAATGCTAATTTTCTGTACAGTAACATAGAAATATCTCATAATTCTCATATTAGTTTTTCTCCCTCTTTTGACAACCATTATTACAGTTAAATGAAAGAAAAACAAAGGAACAGCTATGCCTGAAAGCATACGATCAATAACTCCTTCATAGTAACTGTTCAAAATTATTATTTTTTACTCTTTTTTTCAATGAAGGGACACTTCAGCAAACAAAATGTGCTGCAACTCACCAAAGAGGAAGAAAATCTGTCAAAAAGTCAATATAGATACAGAAGTATAATAAAATAGTCCTTTTTTTCTTTTAAATTTCCCATTTATTATGGTGAAATCTCTAGTTTCAGACTCTTATGGTTCAAGGCTGTGCAGTTCCTCTTGACCACCGAACTCTAGCTCTTAGACCTAAAAGTCCTGTGTGACGAAAATGTCTCTTTTCACACTGAGACAAAACACACCAAACCACACAGGGTTTGAGGAAAAGAGGATGAGGGAAAAACACAACATCAACAAGTTCCCGCAATTTTTAACCAGAGAGAGTCAGAGATTTGCTCCCTAATGTTGCAAATTACAATCCTGGTTGTGTTCAGTCACAGCGATAGTGCAGTTATTGTTTAAAATCCTGCTCTTCAGTTTTCGCAACACTGAATAAAAAGAAAGGCTACCACTGCCAACGACTGATTGAACGAAAGGACACTAGGGGGCAGAGTAGAGAGACTACAGTATTAGGAGAAACACTATCTGGGGGCTGGAGTTGAGTGAAGTTGTGGGGCCTATAGGCTGGTGACCAGGTGTGAAGGCTCCTGATGGGCCTCTTCTGGAGATAGATCCTCTTTGTTTGGGGGCATGATGAAGCCGTCACTGCTGCCCCGCCCTAGTTGGTAGTAGGACTGCAGCTGGTGAAGGTGGTTACGAGAGCCCAGGTTGGGCATGCTCTTGTAGTAAACGTCATCTGAGCTGGCCTCGGGGCTCTTGGGATCCCTGTTATCCTTGGGGCCATCAGCTGAGACATCAGGCAGGCCGGGCAGCATGGGCATGCTGGTGTACAGGGAGTCTCTCTGGTGGTTGTGGTTGGGTGACGAGCTCTCTTCCTCGGTGTGATCGTTAGAAAGTAAGGGGAAGAAACTTTCGCTGTTCTCCTGCGGAATCCTCCTTCTGGACGAAGAGCAGCTGGTGGCAGATGTGAAAGGGTGGTGGGCCAGTGGGAGGGGAGGTGGCACTGACTGGTGGAGGTGAGTGTGAAGGTTGTCCACTGCCTGCAGGACAGGGGGTGGTCTTTGAGGCAAGAGCGGGGCGTTCGATTCCTCACGAATCAACTCCAGGCCGAGTCCTTCGTCATGGTGTGGACCAAATGTTGAGTGCTCATCCAGACTGAGAGCCACGTTCATCCCCATACCCAGCCCCATTCCCAAACTCATCCCGTACCCACTGTCCTTGCCACCATTGCTGACATTGTTCACCAGCTTATTCATGAGGTTCCGGTTGTGCTCCGTGGAGCGCTCGTGGGAATTGTTGAGGTACGAGGGGATATAATTAGAGGTGAGCTCTTTCAGGATCTTTTTCTCCAGGGTGGTCTCCTTGTGGTTGTAGCCCCGGTCAATGATCTGGACGCAGTCACTTAAGTACTCAGCGCTGGCGATGTTGTAGCTGTTGCCATGGTTACCATTCAGTGGTAGAGTATCCATGACACTTGTATCCCGGGCATTGTTCAGGATTCCCTCTGGAATGACAAACATGGATTGGGTTGGGGGAAGAGTGGAGAGGGTGAGGCGAATAAGAAGGGTGAAATCTGATGGGATGTAACTGCCAAGACTAAATGTCGAGCCATTTCAACGAACACAGATTGCATCCATCAAACAGTGAAGCCCTTTTTTATTCTGAAATATGTCCTGAGCCCAACGCTCTCTCTCCGCACTCTGTCATCTACAATTCTGCAAAGTGCACTCGGTGGAATAAAGACCCCATTGTGTTTGGATTAGACCAGACATACAGCAGTGCATTTACATTAGGAGCCTGCAGACTATGAATGAGCATCATATACACTTACCTTATTAAACAAACACCCACTAGGACCCAATTCCACCTCTCATTCCATTCAAGTGTTAATTCTATGGCTGTGATGAAAAACACTGACAAATGTGCAACAAGCAAATGTACAAAAGCAGCAAAATGACCAACACAAAAACAACACAAGCACTTGTACAACATAGAAACGCAAACCATTACGTACAGGGCATGCAGTGACCAAAGCCAGGCACGTCACAGCTCAGAAAGGAAAGACAAAACAACACAACAGCTATAGATTTGAAACCTAGCTCTACGGTCCCATTTGAACAAAAAAACAAAACAAAAAAAGCATGTAAAAATACATTTATAGACTTAAATATACCCCTAAAAGGAAATACTCCACTATCTAGAAATGAATGAATCCTCTTCCTGCTGTATAACATTTTACACTGATCGATTTAAGCCGATTGTGTGAACATTAAGATGAATTTCCAAAGATAATTTAAACCACCTCAGACAAGGACATCAGCCTTGTTAGGAAACTCCAACATTAAGAGTCTGAGTTATAAACATTTGATGAGACACGTTTCCAAGACCTTCAGAAAGACTCTGAACCGGCTCCAACATGGAAGACAGTGGGGGGAAAATTATGTGCATGAATAAAAAAGTTCTGGCTCTGGAGTATCGATTAAAAACTGACACTGACAAAAATGCAGATCAACTCATTATTGACTTGCCTTCTTGAATGTTGAGGTAAGTCTAAATGCTGTCCATAATTGGATTTGCTTATTCAGTGTGTGATATCAAATGAGGTGAATGATATTTGGCGGAAGACACCGACGGACGCCACAGGGTTTCTTGGACTAAACTAAACATCTGATGTTTTACTGCTTTCTTGTCAATTTCCTTTAAAAATGTTTTCTTCATATCTCTGAGTGAAAAAGAAAGTAAAACCAAAGTCAATTACATTTGATAAGCAATGTTTAGTTTGACTCCCATACTTGTCTCTCTGTAGGGCTCTTTAAGGGACAGCATGAGGGAAAGGAGAAGAAGAAGAACACAATAAGCATAACAGTGACAGTTAAAAAAAAGACGAAGAAACAGTCCGCCCAGGATGCACCACGAAAAGGCTCCCAGAATGCAATTGTTCTCAACCCGGTATGCAATGAGTCAAGTCAAGGGTTGTTAACAGAAAAACCACAATATGATGTATTAGCAGCTAACAGTAGACACTTTAATGACCCCCTGACCTAATTATCCTGTCATTTATATATAATAATTTTAATATATATTTTATAATGTTTTTTGTATATGTATACATATATATTATATTTATATTAATACCCTTTAAACATATTTGTGAACATTATCTAAGAATATCATTTCTCAAAATGAAATAAAAATATCAGTTGCGGAATATTTGAAATAAGATATTTAAACAGTCATTAAAACAGTCAAACTAATTAAAAGAACAAAATTAAATTTCTCAATATCACAACAGAGAAAAATTAAATGAATGAAATGGTACAAATACACATTGATTAACAAATGTCCTTTTAGATTAATCTGCTTGTAACAGTTCTAATTGGCAGATTTAAATTAACACTTACAGGTTTTTTGTTCAAATTTGTCTATTTGAACCAGAAATTATCTATGCTACTTTATACTAAGTTTTATATGTCATTCTCACTGATGTTAACAACAGAACAAGTGCTTTTTTTTCCACATCCCAACGGCTCATTCATAGGAAAAAAAACAGCTGACACTGAAAACAAAGAGACATACAGTAAGACAGGCACACAGGCTTCACTGACAACATTAGAGCACACTTAAATATGGCTGGGGATGTGTCTCGCTTCCTGTGGGCATCCATTCTTCATTTTTTGGAGCACTTCCTCAATTTTCACTTTCTCTGCCGGGGCCAAACAGCCATGACTGATAGTGAGAGGAGTGCATGCCCAGACCAGCAGCCAAGACACAGCCACAATAAAAAAATCCCACAGGAAAAAAAAAATCAAAATAACCTGTAGGATTTTTGTGACAAAGCTGCAGTCTGTTAAAACACACACATCTAGGGCAGTGTATTTCTTTAGTAAGTCACATGGGTAAACGTGAGGAATGTTGCAAACTTAAGTTAAAAGTCAAAAAAAAAAAAAAAGCAAGTTTTTCCAATCATGGGTATTCTTCGCTGTCACAGACAGGGACAATGGGTGCGTCCTCACAGATTCGCCCACATTATGGAGCAGAAAAACACTGCCCTAGGAACAACGTTAAAGGATGAAAAGAAGCTGTAACACACCTTGTGTGTTGTACATGCCCAGGGGGTTGTTATAGACTGCCGATTCCCCAAGCAATGCATTATAGGGATTGTTAGTGCCATGAGGACGTAGGAGTGCATTTGGTATAAGATGGTTAGCCATAGCCCCTGGAGCAGCCAGAAAGAAACAGAGCAGGACAGGAGACAGAGAGCGAGGAGACAGGAGGAGGTAGGTGGGAGAAATAGATGGAGATATAGACAGGAAAGGTAGAAATGGAGGAAGAAAAAGGAGAGGACATTCATATCAGTTTGGCAGATGCATCTGAGCAATGACAGCCATTAACACCCAAATGTTCACATGATCAATAACAAGAAGGGGATTGACAGTTGCTACGTGAGAGTGGCCAAGCTAAGGTGGCTGATGGGGCCAGTGGAAGGTGCACTAATTGTCAGCCACGGATGTAAAGCCTGTGGTTTTTTTAAAGTTTCCTCATTCAGGCAGCATAACAGCGTCAACAGAAATCAAAAACAGAGAAGAAGCAGGACTCAGAACAGGACATATTGACAACACAACTCAGGACCCAACGGGTGTCAGTGTAGATCTAACTCACCTTCATAAATGCTAAAACTTTTTTTTATCAACACATTGTACTGACTAGTCATAGAGTGTACATAAAAATGGACACAGCTACAAACTTTACAACACAAAAAAAGGACCAAAGCATCTTAGAAAATGCCAAAAATACATAAATATTTTACAAAAGGTGAAATAAAATATATTTTATTAAAGAAAAACAGAATTCACAAGTGTATAGTCTGAATAGCTTTTTTGTAGATTATTTATAAAAATATTTTTGATTTTTTAAAAAATTCTTATATATATTTTTATATTATATAGTTTTTTTTTTATTTATAGTACAAGAAAAAAATGCTTTATAGTAGTAAATAATATTTTAACAAAGGCCCAGAACTTATATGAACATGTTCTTCTGGGTTTAGAAAAATAGAAAATGGTTTGTTTTTTATAAAAGTAAAATTATTTAAAAAATGTATTCACAGATTTAGGGCCAAAACAGCTGGGATGACACCTGCTTCAAGAGATAAATTTGTCATTTTTGATCCTGTGTAATCAGGCTCTTATTGAATGTTTCAGTTGTCAATTCAAAGTGTCTACTCTGGTATTTACTGTCCCCTTCTGGTGGTTAGTTTGGTTTATTGTCCTTTTCTTTAACAGTGGGGTTGAAATTTAGATAATTGACATCATTCTGGGTGAAGACGACATTTAAACATCATTAAAATATTGGGATTTCTTTTACAGGAGTTATAAAATGAATGATAAAAAAGTCTGCAATAATAAGTCACTTCCAAACCAATATATCAATTAAATATGTCTGTATGTATGTATAATATATGAGACTTCAATTTTGGCTATTTATTTATGGTTTTATTGCTCATAAGTTTGTTGCTACTTAAAACCATTTCAGCCCAATTACTACGATTGCCTCAGCCAAAACAAAAAACACTTTGTAGATAAGCACATGTTTTTTACATGAGTAAAGTGTTAGGTAAACTTTAGTGGTAATTTTCTAAACAGAGTGATGAAACATTTTATTTTAACAAGTCAAAAAGCTCATAGATAAGACACTGTTAAAACCCAGACTCTCTACTTGTTGAATGTTGATTTCTAACTTCCCCTGATAGAATGCTAACTAACCAGAGCGACCCTCACAGTGTGAGCCTCATGATTGACTGCAGACTTGAAGTCTGAACTCCTGAACATGATTGCCACTGATTCACTAATGTTTGTTTTTCTTCCAAGCATGTACGCTTTGAATATATTGTGCCAAGCATTGCGTATGCTGCAAATGTTTGGGACCTGCGTTCAATTCCTGTCTCCTTCCTCCACCTCCAGTGAACACGATAGCACGCTGTTATTTTGAAAGAAGCCCAAATCAGGCACTCGGAGAGGTGAAGCCTGCGTGTGCTTCCATAACGCACGATAACAGACATGGTAAACAGCTTTTATCTGCCACAGCAGCAGACAGCAATTAAACCTTCCGACTGCATCTGCTGGAATTTGAAATGTTCTGAATCTATCACAGCAATGTTGAAAAAACATTTTTTTTAATATGTAACCTGGTGAGTTTTCCACGCTTTGAAAAAGTAGTTTTTTCCTGCCTAAAATTTTAATTGGGAAAACTTTCACCATCAGTCCAGAGGTGGCAGAGTTAAGGCTCATTTCAGCATTAGTCTTATTCTGGTTTAATATTAATTTAGCTTTTCTTTTTACTGTTGATGCTTGAAAAAACTGTTAAAAAATGAAATAAGCTGTTGCTGTGTGCTCTAATTACCGTGTAGTCCATAAACACTCTCCCACTGTTGGATCCCTCATTGTGTTTGTGTTGGATAAAACTGAATTATTTCCAAAAACACACTGATTGTGTAGTTATAATCCTGAACAACATGATAAATTGAACATGCAACGCCATCAAGATGATTGCATGACTTGGCTCTCCAGACGAGCTAGTGTCGGCGGCGAGGGAGGAGATGGTGTAGGGTGGAGGGAAAAACGGAACAAATCAGATCAAATCTGTGCAATTGTGTCTGAGTTTGTTTGTGATGACATTTTAGTGGAGAAGACTCAAGTTTGTATTTCTTTCCAGTGTTAAGTTTTGTCAAAACCAGCAAAGAAAGAAGTCAGCGGTGGTCAATTACACCAGTTTGGCAGCTTCTTCTAATCTTTCAAAGGACAAAGAATGTGAATAAATACCTCAAACTTAGAAACAGTAATTTAATATTTCTTAAACAGGCAAGACTTTTATTAAATAATGAGTTTAATAGAAACAGTAATTTAATATTTCTTAAAGACTTTTATTAAATAATGGGTTTATTAAAGTTTAAAAGTATTTTTTATATTTAAAGTTCACTAGAAAGTGATTTGGAAAAAAATATATTTTTAATTGAATTTTTTTGCTTTTGTGAGATGGATGTTTTGCCCTGACCTTAAAAAAATGTTTCATTGATAAAAAGTAAACTCGGAAGCAACTGTATCATTCAAATGAAGAGGACAGAAACTGATGGATTAGTCATCTACATCTGCTGAAGGGTGAGGGTGAGGGTGAGTCAGTGCAGTACCTCTATTAAGTGACGCAGAGCTGTTGATGTCGCCCGTCATGAAAGATGACTCCGACTGTTTTCTGACTGTGTCGTTCCACATTCGACGGATGCGGCTCTGTTTGGGCAAGAAAAAGTGTCAGGAACACACCATGATGCTTCAATGGTCTGATGTACAACAATGGACAAGTGTGACGTAAAGTACATCTCGCTGACCCAGCGTATTTAATCCCAGCAATATAATGGCGCCACCTAGCTCCGCACAAACAAACGTGTTCAGACGACTGTGTATTTCTTTCTTAGACGGATGAAAACTTGAATTACAGCGGCTGGATTAGCATGTCCTCTGGTGATTACACATTCACTCAGATGGCTGAGAGTTAGAAATAAACAAGCACAGATTTGTGTGTTTCCATCCTTGTCTCACTCCTGTGCAGCGGCGCAGGGTGAGAGCCGTCTTGTCAAAGCACGGCATATAATTAAACGCTTTGATCTGTGTGCAGAATCCGGCTTGTTCCGTGGGCCGTCACTGTACGCTCCACTCTGAGGACTGTTTATAATTGAGCCCAGGAAGGAAATGGCACACTGTGGAATCTGGATATGATGTTCAATTATGGTATACGGCAGCTTTATTCGTCCTACACTTCTTGTAAATGTGGGTGGAATCAATTAACATTTTGCTTTACAAGAAGACAATAGTGACACACAGAATGCACAAATTTGCCAAATGATTTTTTTTTTCCGCCTTCGTGACCAAGAGTAAATTCCAGAGAATCTGCAGTCGCTGTGCCAGTTTTCTGATGACTTCTGCTGCAGTGAAATTAGGGGCTTACTGACTTAATGTACTTGGAAAGTCTTAAGGTGTGTTTTTTTCCTCTCTTATCTCTTTCTTAAAATCCACCCTGCAAGCATATATTGTGTACACACAGTCGCAGGTAGAGTCTCCCCCTATTTCTTTTGCAGAGGGGTGCTAATCTGCATGTTGTTTATTTAATATCAGCTCTTTCCTGCAGCTACTGTGTGCAGACTGAACGGCTACAAAGAGCGTGCATAATGTATTTTAAGATAAGATTCACTTGCAAAGCATTACTGCTGAAGTATAAAACGCTGTCCTGTACTGATAAACACACACACACACACACACACACACACGGAAAATGTGGATAACGTGAAAATTGCTACGCCACCTGTGACCCTGCTGAGTAACGTCCTGGAGCCCGAGCTGCTGGACCTTTTCCGGAACCAATGGAGCTGTCCACACTCTTCACACTGCAGCAGTGAGTCCGCAGGCATTTACCAACCTCCTTACGCACCTTTGTGAAAGGCAAACAAACATGCAACACAAACTAAACAACAATTTGATCAACTAAAAAGCCAGCTGAGCACCCTGTCATTTCCCCCAGTGTGGATGCAGAGCCTTGGTTTTGAAAAGCAGAATATCTGCCATACCTTTTTCTGCAGGACGCAGTGGAAGATGAAGATGAACATGCCTTGCAGTGAGTTGAAGATGGTGAACAGGTAGGCCATGACCACGGTGCTCTCGTTGACGTACATCAGACCAAAGGCCCAGGTGAGACCGAGGAGACACAGCAGGGCAATGGCTCCAATCACCCACGATCTGGAAAATAACCACATTTAGAATAATTTCATGAAAGGTGCTGAGGTCCTGGTATTAAATTCTCATGGCAAGGGTAGGTTGGAAAAATACAATATTGGAAATAATGAAGTAAGGTGAGAATGTGCCCAGACTTTAATATACAAATGTCCACAGGGAAATCAGTACAGGGCAGAATAATACTGTCTTAAAAATGAGCTAAAGAGGTACAAAACAAATATAGAAGAATAGAGAACATGGGAGACAACAATGGGTTTTTTTTCCCGTATCTGCTTGTATATGTACATAGATTTGTCATATTTTAAGGGGTGTCAATGGGTAAAGTATGCAAGAATTAACCTAAAGAAATTATCAAAACCAAAATATTTCTTTAGTGATTTGTTTCTTTTTTATTTTGCAATACTTAAAAGATAGTTGTAGAAAAGTTGACTTAACAGTTTTGATATGTAGATCATATCATTTGCTTTTCACTGAATGGCAGTATGACAGGTCAAAGGATTCCAAGCTGAAATAAAACCATAACAAAAAGAAGGAGGAAGTAGGGCATTGGCAGAATCCGCTGAAAACCTATCCTTAGGTGACTTTAAGTAATCAAAAACAAACAAAAAAAAACAATTTCTGTGAATGAAAATAAAATAAAAATTGGACTCAAATTTGTAGCTCAACAGCTGCACAGATCATTGGCTTCTCAGGTTTGCAAGGTAGATGCTAGCTGTTGACATAATATGGGAGCATATGGAAAATGATTGGGAATTGGATCAGTAAACCTAAACTGTAACTTTGTACCAAGACTTGCAAAAATCTGTGCATTCTCTTCCCACAAAAAGCAAGAATTGATAATTACTGTCCTGAGGGGACCCTGACCATTTTGAGTTATTTTTACTTAAAACCTTTTCTTGTATAGAGCGATAAAAAATAGTTTGGGGAAAGGTTACTGTAAACATTAAATTTTGATGTACAGTTCCGTAAATCACTGGGTTCTCAGCTAGGCTAGCTGGCAAAGCTAGATATATTTTCCCTATTATATCTATTTTTTAATTTTAACCATCAATGAATATTGTGGAACAGCATATTTAATCTGTTCAGGTAACCTAATAAATTTATCATCCACAGCTATTCAATTTACCGGGTCCTAAACGCCAGCTAAAATGAGCTACATGCTTTGTACTAAATTCATTCACAGTCTAACACTGTCCTAAATGCTGAGTCACTTGTCTTTAAGACAGAAGGAGAAGAAGAGCTCACACTCTATGGGCTGGATGTAGATATAACAGAAATAATCAACTTTGAAAGGCAAATGTTAGACACGTAGCTCCACTGCAGCGCTAATATTTCCACAGAGAGCACAGTGAAGATACAGGTGTCATTTAAAACTAATCTCACTTTTCACATCTATAGGCCATGTATACTACAGTGTATTAGACAGGAGTGCAGTGTGCACACTAATTCAGCCTTCAGCGTGACTGAGTGCTGCACAATAAATCATGGTAATGATTCACTACGACGGTGAAATGGATTTGGGCCCTGATTTGTTCATAAGGGGAAGTAAATGAAAGATGGCATTCAGGGACAAGGGGCCCATCTGACTTTGTCTTACTTGATCTCAGGTTTGTAATCCTGATAGCTGAGCAGCGGGACAAGAACAAAACAACATTAGGCAAGTCAGAAATAAATCAAATCACACAACAAAAACATGAGGGGGAAGTCGTCCAAAAATGAGATACGGGGCTTAAATGTAGACACAGAAAAGGGAAAGAATGAGGGGGAAGTCGTCCAAAAATGAGATGGCAATGTGGAGGCACAAAGAGTTTCTTTTGTTTTGTTTTTGTTTTTGGCAGAATGCAGATTAGAGCTGCATTCATGGCTTTACAATCTAAAAAGTTTAAGGAGGAAATCATTAATTTCTGGAAAGGATGTCTTTTTGATATGAAGATTCAAAACAACATTATCTTAGTTCATAGGAATGATAAGATTCTCTCTTATGAAAGCTGGAAGACCCTGGTGTTTTAGCCATTATAAATGGGCCAGGTGTGCTGCAAAATAAATGATTTATGAATTCAGAGGAGCGACCATTAAACATAACTTTCCCAGCGCTGTCTTAATGACCTGGAGGGAGAGGTACTTCATCAAGGCAATTGCACCCCGGAATGGACACAGAAACACCAGCAGTGGGTTACAAGGAGAAAGTAATATTGTCCTCCAACTAGTGGCACATTAGTTGGGGAAAAGGTTGGTGGACGATATAAACACAAGAGGTCATGAGAAATGCTTCCACCTGGACAGGATATAAAGAGACTGCAGCTTATATCGCACAAGGCTCATCGTCTCCAATCAGATAGAAGTGTGAGGGTGCCTTTTCTTTTTAGAGGGAGGAAAAATTCTGATTCAGTGCATGCATGCCTCGGTGCCGATGACACAATATCACATCCAGATTCTTTCATCTGAATGGCATCATTAGGCTGGAAATATAGTATGAAAATTATAATTGAATATGCCTTTCAAAAAAATTTCAGCCACTTAGACGCTCACTTTCAACTGGGCCCATCACTAAACATAGCACTGTGTGAATTGCTTTACAATGTATGGATGTACCATCCATCCAGCAGGGCTGCAGTGGAGTGCTTGGAGGCATCTGACGCACAGGAAAAGTGAGATTGGTTTGGTTGTGCTAATCACTGAGCAGAATTGAGAAGAAAACTGAGCAATTTCAGTGTAGAGTGCTACTGTACTGCAGGGCGTTGCATTAAACTACAGCCAATTCCTGTTCAAAAAATGTACTTAATTCGGCCGCTGCTATTCTTTGCCATGTTGCCCATCATTTATGTATGAAATGGCACCTGTTCAGTTCAACCTGGTTAAAACCCTCCCGGACGTCATTTTATGGCCTATTTCTAGGAGGAAGGAGCTGTGATGGAGTCCACGGCTCCTGGATTATTTATCCAAACATGTACAAAACACTAATTGCTTTTAAAGCCACTAGTACGGGAATGATTTTTATCAGGGCTGGAGAGACAAAATTATAGCAATTTTCTTGAATAACTGCTGTTGTCTCTAGGATTTAAATTAGACTGGTAGAAAAGTTGTCTGAATCACACAACACTTCATGGCGGGAGGGAAGGAAACACATCAAACACATTTAGTCTACTCTACCCTCTCTTACCAGTGCCACTCTACAATAACACATCCATCATGATAACGGTAGCTGGAAAAACCAAGATGAAACACAGCAGAGATGAGAACATAAAGGCAGGATGCTATTCAAAGGAAAAAAGGGATAAAAATAGCAGAAATTCACTCAAAGAGATAAAACATGCATATAAAGACAGAGTGACAGGATGTGATCAAAACATGATATCCAGCTGTAAAGAAGAACAGAAGAGTGATAAATGGGACACAAATGGAGGCAACACAATAAAAACAAGCTAATTAGCCTGTGCTATCATAATAGGCTAACCAGTTCACCTTGATAACGCAAAGAAAACAAAATGATTCCCAGCATGTGGTGAAATGGTTTGAGTCATAGGTCATAGCTTTAAAAACAGTCGAATGAATGAGCGCTGACAAATGCTATGGGACTTCTCACCGTTGTACAGACTCTTATATAAAACATTGCAAACTCCTCTACCCCTCCCCCAAAGTCAATAAGCTGTGGGGTCAAAGGGTTAGTTGTGTGGTACGCTACAAAAGCCCAGGGTCATAAATCACATGATACACCCAGAAGCCTGTAGTCAATATATTTCTGCACAACAAACTGCGTAACGTACAGGGTGGTGACCAGGGATGGGTGGATGAAATATACACCGTTTACCCAGAAGAAATATTCAGAGGATTATTTAAGCGTTTTTTTTTTTTTTTTCATTTTAAATTTATGATGTGTTTAAGAAGAAGACTGTCGTCAAATGTGTCCTGCAACAATAATTTAGCTCAGTCCATTTTTCATTCGTGCACCTGCTGTTCTGGTCCAGTCATGGACTGCAACTATATCAGACTCCTCTGCCAAGCAATGAATTTCCAAAATGAGCAGTCACTGCACGAGCTGCACAGCCAACCAAAGGTGTGTGTGTGTTTGTGAGCTGCAGGTGGTCTGCCTATATTTCAGCCAGAGTTGGAATCACAGGAAGTGTGTAATTCATAGTGGATGCCTGAGAATATCGGTACATTTATTTAGCTCACTCCTTGCACACTGGCATGAGTGTGTGGTTTGACAATACATTGCTATGGCTTTTTGTTTTTCTTTCTGAGCAGATCAGCTGGTGATCAGAGTCCACTTGATGGGGACAGCATCCATTCCTCTTTCTCAGGAAGGAAAGGACACCAGAGGAAGAAGAACCAGACCAGAATGATTCACACGTCTGTGGCTCCACTGCCTGATCTTGATGGTTGTGTCACTACTTCCTGCAGCAACTTCACAACCACCTCACTCCAATTTCGCTCATTTCATTTTTGCAAAGTGCACGGTATTGATTCAGATTTTCTTTTGTTAAGTTGCAGAATCAAATGGGACAAAAACAAACAGGCCTCTTATTAATTATGAGCCAAAAACATGAGGAAAATAAGGGGAATAAATGTCCTCTGCTGTGGAGCCACTGCAGGAGGTGGCAAGTTTGGATTATCACATTGTTAGCTGCGCAGGAGAGGAGAAAATTAATGTTCAGACAAAGTGTACCAAATCAAAAAGCGGCAAACATCGAACAACATCAGCAACACAAGTAGTTTCAACCAGCGGCTCATGAACCGGTTATTAAGTTGGCGTGAAGCCATTATTTGTTAGTAGTTATTGTCCAACCAGTGATTTACTACATCTGGTTCCAGCAGTGAAGCAAAAGAATATTCATAAAGAGGCTTCATGTGTGAACAACCAAAGCACCGTTAAATTAAAAGCGGTTCATGGGAACAGAACCCAAACAGTAATTGTAGCTGTGGACTGAACTTA